CCCGCCCCCGCCCCCCCGTCTGTCTGCCCAAAGAGATTAGAGTCCCCAGCTGGAGCAAATAAAGCAGCCGCTTACGCAAGCCGGGTGATGTAACCACGCTTTGGGGAGACCCACCCACGCCGGCACCACTGCAGACACCCCCAAAGCTCACCCACCGCGTCGCCCAGGATGAGGGACAGCATGGTTGGGGGGCGGGGGTGGCATGCGAGAGGTGCACAGCAGACACCACGTCCTGTCTGTCTCTAGGACGGCCTGCTTATGCATAGGCCAAAAATCACGCTCTGTATAGGACAGGGGCATTTAGAAGCTGGGATAAGGGCACCCAAAGGTGGGAACAGCCCTGGGAGAGCAGGAAAACAGCCCAGAAACCCCTTCTAGTAGGACCAACTCAGCAGTGGCTAGCCCCCCCCCATCTCCCCATGCCGGCACACTCCCGCGCCAGAGGGTCAGCGCTGACTTCCTTTCTACACCAGCGTACCACCCGCAGCAGGAGAACAGCACGGCGGCCCTTCCTGTGACGCAGGCCGACTCACCAGCCGGCACCAGGTCAAAGCTCTGGGCTCGGGGCCGGTACCAGGGACCCAAATGATAAAGGGACACTGGGGGAAGCGGGGGGCTTGGCGGGGGGGTGCCTACGGAGACCAACGGGGCACGGAGCGCCCCCGGCATGCAAGCCGGCGTTAACAGAGCCTGTGCTCCCAGGCCAATTGGACCCCTGTCTCTGCCACTGAGTCACCGACCGCACAGCCGCCACTGCCGCCCTGCGCCGCGCCTCCCACGCCGCCCGCCCCGCCCCCCCTCTGCTGCTCATTACATCTGCGGCGGCAGCGCGGAGGCAGCCTGTGGGCAGCAAGCTGTGTGCCTGAGAAAACAAGGGAACAGGAGCTGAATCAGGCAGCAGACAGGCATGGGGTGGGGGGGCATTGCCCACAAACGCGGAGGGTGTAGGCTGCTTTATGGGGGCATGAAGACCCAGTGCTGAAACACCCTCCAGACAGTTTGGAAGTGCGGGGCAGCAGCAGCGGGGCAGCAGCAGCGGGGCAGCAGCAGCGGGGCAGCAGCAGCGGGGCAGCAGCAGCGGGGCAGCAGCAGCGGGGCAGCAGCAGCGGGCCCCTCCCTCGGGGACCCGGCCGGCCCAGCCGGGATTAACACTCGCCAGCCGCTGGCATAATGAACGGCGCACTGCTAATGCGGCGGCTGGGAATTGACACATATAGAAAGGGGTAGACATGGGAAATGGATGTTTATTTCACGGCCTCCATCAGTGGCTGAGTTTACCTGCACACCCCCCCCCCCCCCCACTTAACCTCCATGACCCGAATCCCTGGCCCTCCCTCTGTCGCCCAGACCCACCCCCAGTGTCGACACCAGATACCCATTAAAGTGCAGAGACAGTGAGACACACGGACACTGAGACACGGCATCAATAATGCAGCGCGCTGACTAGGGCGTAATCTCTGCTCTGGGACAGAGTGGGGGGTGGGGGGGGGCTAAGAGAGGCAGGATGAGCCCTGGGACACAGAGAGAAAAGAGTGGGAAACTGGAGTGGGAAGGGAGGGAGGAGGCAGACAATGGGACCGTGGGGGCGGAGGGGCAGAAAGGGGGATGAGATCATAGCTCGTCTGGTAGTCTGCTGTCATCCAGGTCGGATCGCCTCTCCTTCCTTCTCTCCCACCCCTCTCTCCCTTCTTCTCCGGTCAGGCCCCAGCCGCCATTTAAACACCCCCACCCCACCCCCCAAGAATCAAAAGAACGATAAATATCCAGACTTCACCCCACAGATGGTCTCAGCATAGTGGGTATGTGGGCATGAACACAGGGGGCCTGGGGGTGTTCAAATCAAAAGTCCAGCTCTGAACTGCCCTCTGCTGGAGCGACGCAGCTGCACTCTTGAGGACGCCGGCTAGGCAGAGGCCTTCCCAGCACTGGCTGGCTGCGCACGGCCTAGACATCGATAATGGCGCATAGATCGCCGCATGCTCACGACGGAGTCATCCCCCTCTCCCCCACAACGGCTGTGCCCACCCACCCCCATCTAATCAGACTATACACTACAATGGTGGCGGCAGCAGCTCTTCCTGAATACCTGCAAGGCCTGCGTGCAGGTAGCCGACGTGGAAGCGAGGGCAAGCCCACGCAGCGGGGAGCCAAGGACCAGAGGGGAGCCGAGGACCAGAGGGGAGCCGAGGACCAGAGGGGAGCCGAGGACCAGAGGGGAGCCGAGGACCAGAGGGGAGCCGGCTAAACGTGAGCCTGGAGCCGGAGGCCCATTGAGAGCCGCCTGGAGCCACAGGTCAGACAGACCCTCGACACAGAACTGAAAATAAACCGCGTGAGCTCGACAACTGACGGACATGGAACAGGCCTGGGGGGTGGGCAGGGGTCGGGACTGGCCCAGGTCAACCCGAATACACTTTGCCTACTGGGATCAGATCTGAGAGAGCCAAAGCGAGAACAAGAGCAATGCTGCTAGGAGGGGCATCTCGGACCGTCCCAGGAGGGACTGGGAGCACCAGACCCCAGGGGGGGACACTCCCAGCACAGGGCCAACGTGCTGAAGGGGGGCAAGGCGCAGAGTGACGTCACGCCAGGCTATAATTATACCTATATAATAGGAGGAAGAGAGGATTGTTTAGTCCCCAAGATGTAATGTCGCACTAGTGAACAATCAGGGTGGGGGGGGGGGGGTCCATCAGCAAAACAAAGCTGGTGTGAGAGTGAGAGAGAGCGAGAGCTCACCAGTGGCCTTCAAAGGCCAAAAATAGAGGCACGCACACTGGGGTTATTGTTCACCATCAAGAGGGGTGAGAGGAGCAGAGAGAAGTGGAGAGGTACTGTGAGAATTTGGGGGGAGGGAGGGAGGGGGGGAGGGCGGATACGCGAGCGAGAAAATAAGCCACAGTAGAGGCAGCCGGAGGTGGAAGAGGCATCGATAGTGGCTGAGCAGCCCCCCCCCCACCGCTTACATACTGTACCTGTAACCC